GGAGTGCATAAAGGTGAATCTTTATCAAGTGAAAGGAGATATCCTTTAAGAGATCGAAAACAACTTGGTGCATGGTAGAAGAACCACATCTTTCCTCAAATAAGAGAACAACATGCCAATGTTGCTTTCCTTGTTGATCCATTGAGTTTGTATGATGCAATGAAATCTATAAATGCTATGAAGTGGGAAAATGCCACTGAAGAAGAATACAAATCATTCATGGAGAATGGAACATGGGAATTGACTCAACTTCCACCAAATTGATCTTCAATTAGTTTTAAGTCGGTGTTTAGAACCAAAAGGGATGCAATGAATAATGTTGTGAGATACAAGACTAGGTTGGTTGCCAAAAGATATTTATAAGTTATTGAAGTTGATTTCAATGAGACATTTGCTCCCATGGCTAAATTCACCACCATTAGAATCATTGTGGCAACTGAGGCAGCAATGGACTTGGAGATGCATCAAATGGATGTAAAGACGGCTTTTTTGAATGAAAAGTTAGAAGAAGACATCTTCATGGATCAATCTCAAGGATTTGTTGAAGTTGGCAAACAAGACTTTGTTTGTAAGTTGAAGAAATCTTTGTATGGGCTCAAACAATCTTCAAGGGTATGGTACCAACATATTGATATATTCTTTGTGAATGAAGGATTTGTAAGGAGTGAAGCTGATCATTCATTGTATGTCATGCAATCCAATGAGTTCATATTGATTATCATCCTCTATGTTGATGATTTGATCATCTCAACCAATGCTATGAAGATGATGGATTGATTGAAGGTAAAGTTATAAAATGAGTATGAGATGTTTGATTTGAGAGAGCTTCACTATTGTTTAGGAGTGGAGTTTGTAAGAAATGGTGCTAAGAAGACCATTACAATGAGCCAAAATAAGTACATTGAAGAGGTCTTGAAACGATTCAACAAGGAGTGTAATAAGCCTATTGGAACACCTTTGGATGCTAATTTGAAGTTGATGAAGCTCACGGAAGAAGAGTTTGCTGAAGTTGAAAGATAAATGTAAGGTGTTCTATACAAGGCAGTAATAGAGTCATTAATATATGTAATAGTTGGTACAAGGGTGGATCTTGCATATGTGGTGAAAGTTGTGAGTCAATACATATCAAAGGGTGGACCAATCTATTGGGCAACCATCAAAAGGATCATGAAGTACTTAAAAGGTACTTTGAACTTTAAATTATTTCTTAGAGGTGATAACATTACTGTGCATGATTATTGTGATGTGGATTGGGCTAGAGATGTAAATGATAGAAGGTCAACAACGGGATATGTATTTTTTATTGGAGTAGGAGCAATTTCATGGAATTGCAAAAGATAACCAACAATTGCAAGGTCAACAATGGAGGTGGAGTACATGGCAACAAGCCATGGTGCAATGGAGGCAATATGGCTTAGACAACTTTTGGAGGATATTGGAGATGTATAAATGGAAGCAATTCCAATAAAGTGTGACAATCAAAGATGTCTTACATTTGCAAAGAATCTAAAGTATCATTAAAGAACTAAGCACATTGACATTCAATATCACTTTATAAGAGAGAAGATTGAAATAGGAGTGATTAATATGAAGTATTATGCAACAGAAGACATGCTTACTGATTTTTTGATAAAGGCATTAGTAAAGGATAGGTACCATATGTTGACAAAGGCATTAGAATTGAAAGTTTTTTGACCAATAGCAAAATGGGAGTATTGAAGTAAAAATAAAAGTATAATAAGTTACCTTGTAGAGGATATTACCTTAGGTAAGTTGTTAATGGTCAAAGGGTTGACTCTTGGTGTATAAAAAGGGCATCCTATAGATATAGGATGAAGTCAAGGACCAAGAGTCAAAGTCAAGAGAATAAAATATGAACAAAGGAATATTCAAAGACTAAGTAAGAGTAATTAGTATTTGGTATAAGGTTTTTTGGATGTTATTTTTGTATGATTTGGTATAAGAGTAATTAGTATTTGGTATAAGAATTTTATTATTATTTTTTTATAGAATTATTTTGAAATTTCTTTTGGATTTGGATAAGGATTAATGAAGATTATTAAAGTTCAATTGAGATTTGTTTAGGTTTTTATTAGAATTCTTAGGTTCTTTGTTTGTTGCAACATATAAGTTTACCTTCTACATTCAAGTGCTTGGTTCATTTTCAAGCAATACAACACATAATACATCAGCAAAAGTATTAGTCCTATGCAATGAATAAGTCAATGGATATAGTCTAAGGAGATAGGATTTGACTTTTGCAAGAAATTAATAATGAATTATTTGGATTAGTTGAGTGAATTTAATCCTCAAGACTTGGAACATTATAGAAGACAACAATTCTAATTTTTTAATCCACATGAGAGTTAAGATGACAAACAACAAACTACAAGTTTTAACTCAATACAATACATTAAATTTCTATAGTTTTGTATAGAATTTATTTTTAATTCCCTTGTAGTATTATTACAATGTTGCATTTGCACAATGCTATATGTTTGGATGATAAAATAATAAAAGTTGAATGAAACAATAGCTAGAGCTATTAAATATTATAAATTATATTTGAAATTGAGTATATTACAACCTAAATTATGTGAATCCATCAACAAACTTGTATTATAAATAAGACTAAAATAATTACTATATATAGATCAAAAATTAAATTATAAAATTTTAAAAATATTATCACTTAATCTAATACTTTTGTATATTTGTAAAACATATGAAAGAAAAATCACAATATATTAATTATAAAAGAATAATTTTATACATAAAGGATTAAAAATTATTAGTAAGAGGCAACTACATTAAAATATTGTATAACAACCAAAACATTATTACTAGTATATACAAAAAACTTACTAACTATAAATTAAATAAGATTAAAAAATCAAAAATCAAAAATAAAATAATTACAATCTTATTTGTATATCTACTACTTTAGGAAGTTGAAAATTTTAATTAAAACATCAAACATCTTGCCTCCTAACTATTAAAAGAAACTATTTAAAATATTCTTAAAGAGAATATTGACTATGCTACCACAAAAAAAGTCTACATATTTATATGCACAAGCCTTGTAAACCAAGGAATTAAAAAAACGCTTGCCAACAAGGTTGGGTAATTGCTGTGCAAGAGCAACATTCTCATCAGAAAATCACCTGCATTTTTAGCTACCCACATGCACGATGCTAATGTCCTAAGCAAGATGGAGTCAACAGCATGTGGGGATTGACTGTACACTTTTTGTTAATTTCAAAGCAATATTAGGGTTCTTTCCTCAGTGTTGGGTGTAGTCGATATTAGCAACCTTTTCAAAGGTCACCATGTTCCTTTCAACTCATGCATGGTTCAAACAACCTCTTAGTTCAAGTGTATTAACCCACCCTCACATGCCTAGAAAACGTTGAACTACGGCGTTCAGCTTCAAGTTGCACATCGTTTACATTCACTTGAAACAGGAGCCCAAAACTTGATGCTTAACAAGATCTTTAGATGCTTACCTTGCTTTGTTCTTTGTCAACAGGTTAGCCCCCTTCGTAACGAACTGTATTTACACGTCTTTGTGCTTACCTTGAACCGCTTAGTGCTGGGGAGTCATGCCTTCGCGTTGTCAATTTATATACTTACGCTCTGGAAACCAATAGTGGCCGAACTGCTTCAATGTTTCTCATGTGACTTGCAAAGTTCATGGCTGCCGTGTCATCTCCTGCTCCTATTTTGATATCTGCATTTCAATCACAAAACTCCTTCACTGCCTCGGATTGTCTTGCCCATGTGAAGTCTCCATATGAATTTAAGTACTACAAATGACGTGCCATGAAATTTTGAACTGAAAACTCCAAATACTTTTGAGTTACAACGAGGCCACAAACATGTATTTCAATCCTCTAGACCCTGTTGTCATAACTCAGTCTGAAATGAGACTTATTCGAAGCAATTGGAGCCTCAATAGTTGCATCTTCGTTGGATACTTCCCAGTTCTTATTCAACCAGCTCATGAGCCACTGCAGACTGAAAGCATCGTGTACCACAAAGCTACTGTAATTTGAGGGACAAGAATTGAAGTAATTCGTAGTGTCAAACATCAAAATTAACTTTCTAATCTCGACGTAATTAAATCAACAGAAAAGCGTACTGAAATAAACCCAGGAAAGACTTACAGAACTTGGGCCCTACCAAAGTAGCTACAATTATGTTAACAGGCCCAGAAAAAAAAACATATGCTTCTTAGTACACCCGGAGCTCTCTTCAAGCCGCCGTTATCGTCCCAGACTTTATCGTGTTTACCGCTCTACATTTTTAAGTCTCCAAAACTTCGTCGTAACTGCAGTAGAGCCGTAACCTACGTACAGTTGCACATCTAGAGTGCGAACCAGCAGCCGCATTGCAATACCAAGTCTACTCAGCATCAGACACTGGAAAAGTCGAAAAGAAGCCATAAGGCCGAATTCTAACTGCTAAATAATGAAAAAAATACCCAGAACGCTGATAAAAAGGGTGAAAAAACAGACACCTACTGGCATGTGCTACATCACGACAAAATCTGTTTCATTAGCACTCTCAGCTACTAAAGACAATACAAATTAGCAATCTCCGTCACTCAAGTTAGACCGCCAAATTTTCAGATAATCCAATACGAATGTTGAATCAGCGCCTCCGGATTTACCGAAATAGGAAACTATTGATATGGTTTAAAATCGAACAAATGGCATTAGCTTCAGAACATTTAAAACCGGGATGAGTGGTGCAAAGGAAGATGTAGCGTCAATTCCAGCAGCAAATTACAAGCTGCGGTGTTCGAGAATGCTGGTTCCGTTCATTGATAGAGGCAGGATTGATGGCGAGGAGGTGTGTGAGCAAGGAGTCCAATCGTCCAAAGGACGCAGAAAAATTCCACCAAACAACCGGTCGGTTACAGCTGTTCGCCAGCAAGGTCCAATTCAGTAAAAGGAATTATCACCGAATGTAGTACTGTTGCTGTAGTGTTATGCAATTTTCAGCGCTACAGTGATGTGGTAAAAGTCAGAAATGTAATTAAATATGTAATGCTTCAGGATCTCTACAGGATGCGTCTGTGGAGTGTGTTTGTAGAAAGCAGGAGTCTCAGGCGTGAGTGGAGCCTGGGTGAAGTGTCAAGACATTGAGACTCTTCCTAGTAGTACAGCGTTGGGATCGAATTAGGGTTTTAGAAGTGGAAGATTTGAGGATTTGCTGAAGTTTGAAGAGTTGTGACGATGGCTGAGGTTGTGGATAAGAAGGTTAAGGTTACGGTGCTGGTCAATGGAAATATATTGACTATGGATAAGGAGATGCGCGTGTTTCAAAACAATGGAGCCATGGTAGTGTTGGGAGACAAAATTGCTGCAATTGGAAAGACGGAGGAGATTTTGAGGGCATATAAAAGCGAAGCAGATGCGATTGTTGACCTCTCCTCTAAATGGGTTCTGCCGGGTATGTCTTCTTAGTCAAAGCCTCACTCCTCGAATTTCGTTAGTTTACTAGCTGCTGTCCTGTTTTATATTGTTGAAGGAGTTTATGTGTAATTTTTCTTTTTGTCTTTTTTCTTTTTTTGCCTGTTGTAATGCACAACACAAACTCCAAGACAACCCCGCTCTGGAGGAAAATGATACTCCAGAGTGGAAAGGATAAGTTGAAATCTGTCGATTAGGCTCACTGGTTGTACTAGCAACTGAATTTGAGAGCAAATAGGTGGAATGCAGGTGTTGTGGAGAGTTATTTTGTATGTTTCATTCGTTGTTTTGTGAATCAATCAGGAATGACTAACACACATGTGCACACATCGCAACAACTAGCACGCGGCATAGCTGACGATGTGGATCTACTCACTTGGTTGCACGGCCGCATTTGGCCATACGAGTCCAACATGACGGAAGAGGAATCGTACTGGTCCACTTTGCTCTGTGGCATTGAACTCATCCACTCCGGGGTACAAAACCCCTAATCTTTTTCAGCGAGTTTGTCCATGTTGTACACCATAGCTTGCCATGTAACTGCTTAATTTGAGGTCATTTTGAGAGGAGGACTTCTGTTTCTAGACTCCTGCAAGTTTTTGCATTACTGCATTGTTGCACTCTTACTAGGTTGAATTTAAAGACTTCCCACCAGCATTTGTTGAAACCATTACTAAGGCATTTGGAACTTTTCGTTGCACATTTATCTAGATTTTAACGAGGTGATGGATCACCTGGGGCTTAAGGTGACATGTTTTGCAGAAGCGGGTGGTCAGCATGTGTCTGCCATGGCCCGCGCTGTAGAAGAGCTGGGCATCAGAGCTTGCTTGACTCGCTCAACCATGGATTGTGGGGAGGGATTGCCACCGACTTGGGCCTCTGAAACCACAGAGTCCTGCTTGCAGGTCAAACATAGTAACTCAAACTCCTACCGTCTTCTATTCATATTTTTCTTCATATCAGCCCTTACCCTGTGTGCGGTTGTTTTGTGAACCTATAGACTCAGGAGGAGCTCTTCGAGAAGTTCAATGGAAGCGCTGAAGGGAGGATTCGGGTCTGGTTTGGACTACGTCAAATATTAAATGCAACTGACTCCTTGTTGCTTTCCACGAAGGCAGCTGCTGATAAGCACAAGACTGGCATCCACATGGTATCGCTCAGCCTACGTTTCCACTAGGTCATTCTATTTAATATCCCAAAATTCAAATGGGGACGGTATTAAGTGAAGACAATAGATTGGTTTGGTCACTGATGTTTTGTGGTGGATTGACATACAGCATGTTGCAGAGATACCCTTTGAGAATGAGTGGGTGACGAAGACAAGAGAGGTTGATCATGGAACGGTTACCCACTTGGAAAATATTGGAGTACTTGGGGAGAATCTTTTGGCTGCTCACTCTGTTTGGGTTAGTTCGAGTGAGGTATTCATCAAACTCATACTTTCTAACACAGAAGAGCCCCATAAAGTTGAGGCCCTAAATTTTATCATTATGTGCTCAACTAATTGATGGAACATGGGCGTGTGGATGGTTGAGGTTAGGTGAAAATGATGGCTAAGCGGGACGTGAAGGTCTCACATTGTCCTGCAGCTGCAATGAGAATGCTCGGATTTGCTCCCATTGTTGAGATGCAGGAGGCGGGAATATGTGTCTCTCTTGGCACCGACGGCGCTCCTTCGAACAACCGCATGAGCTTAGGTGAAGAGTTAACTTTCTTGATTTTTTTTTTTTTTTTTTTTTTTTTTTTTTCTTACTTCATTAGTAAACCATGTCTGTTTTTTCTTCGTCATATAGCCATGAATGCTACGTGCTTTCACTGCTTGAAATGGAGTGCAAGTATGAAGTTAGTTGCATTAGTGAATATCAACATGCCTTCAAGCTTAGTTTCATCTTGAGTCTGTTCTTACGCTGTGTTTCTTTCAATGATGAATCAGTTGATGAAATGTACCTCGCATCCTTAATTAACAAAGGGAGACAGGCGTATGAAAAAGGCATGACTGACCCTACAGCCCTGCCGGTTGAGACTATCTTGCAAATGGCAACCATTAATGGGGCTAAGGCTGTTCTTTGGGAGTCCGAGATTGGGTCCCTTGAAGTCGGGAAGAAGGTATTTTTGTTCAACATAAACTAAGCGCAACAGCTTCTTCTGTCCTGGTATTTCTCCTGGGGTTGCAAGGTGTAGGTTACATTGCTTCTCTTTTCTGCCACTGATGTAAATTCTGAGCCCGAATGGACATATATCGATTGAGTCTGAAAACCATGTTTTATGGGCAAAGGTGACTGCTTATGAGACGAGCATGAATCGAATATTCATGAAATTTTGTGCAGGCAGACTTCGTGATCCTCAACCTTGACCTATGGACGATGGTGCCTCTTCTTGACCCGTAAGTACTAATCTGTTCCTCTTGGAAATTCCGCTTAGTTGGTTAATTACTATCAGAGAATACCGTCCATGAACAAACTGATACTCATGTTCATTCTCGATGCAGAATTGCAAACATTGTCAACTGCATGCGCACAGAGAACGTTGAGTCAGTAATGTGCAACGGCGTCTGGATCATGAAGGAGCGTGAAATTTTGACGGTTGATGAGGTTAGTGATACAGTACTCCAATCTAATTACTATGAAGAACGCATAGATGATCATACAACGGTACTGCTGTCCATTTCACTAAGCTAAAAGCATCCACATTGGAGATAGAAATATCATGCTAACATGTATCCTATCTGACTGTGCCGTCTTGAACAGGGAATGGTATGCCACATGGCTCAGCAGGCTTCTACCAACTTATTGAAACGCGCCAATATCGTGCTTCCAAGAAGAATGAACCTTGTCCAGTAGAGCAAAGATAAGCTCACCGGACCAAAAAACTTGCATGTGACCGATCCACTTGCTGGACTAGCATGCCTGTGAACTTACAAACTTGTAACTACCTTGATTATATAATATTTAAGCATCACCTGGACTTAATCAATCATGGAGAGTTTGCAGTAGATAGCCGAAGCTCTTCTCTCTCCACTGTGTGCACCCACGGTCTGCACCCCATCGTGAAACAAACTGAGAAAGTAACCTACAAAGAGTTGAAATGGGGCATATTATAGTACACTATTGATTAGACATTGCGCACGAATGTGCTCATAGTACAAAGAAAATTGCTAGAACCTGAACTCCTAGCTCCACCTGAACTCCCTCAAACCAGCGATCAAGTCCCTAATGAACTATCAACATTCTTTCCTTCATCAATCCTTTTCTACCTGAGATCAATCATTCTATTCCTAAGTGTGCAATATTCTCTGTACCTACTCAAAATTTGATTATCCACTACAATTCTTACTACTATTCGGGGAGGACTGCCTGCTATAAATTCCAGGTCGACAAAACCCTACAACCCCAAACTTTCGGGATCTTGGATTACAGATTACAGCGCGACCCTGTTATGGTACATGTTCTGGTGTTCAAGGAACATTCCAAGTATCCTCCCTCCAGTGATACTGTGTTCTCATATGTACAACTTGAAGGAAACCCGAGGAGAAGATTGCTCCTAAGGACGAGGGGCCGACATTTGCTGTTTCTTCACTAGTCCGTCTAAAGCTTTCACAGACGAAATGTCATGGGGAGTAATAAATATCCATTGTGAACCTTGCTGTACAGCAAAATTCACTACTGTATCAAGACTGATTTTGCGACTGACAGCATCCATGAAGACATCAAACTCGTCCATCGCTCGGAATGGAGCTTCTGTCATATCGTGAAGTGCTAACGCAAATGACAAAGTTGAGTATGATCGTTCTCCTCCAGAAAGACCCCGCGTATCTCGGACAGCACTACCAGCAGCATCTTGGGGCATATGAAGTTCAAATGCTAGTGTCTCTTTTTCATAATCAACCTTCACACTGCCACTAAACCCTTTCTTTCGAAGATGGCCATTGAACTGCCAAGTCAACTGCCGACGGAGGAACACACAGTTACGTTCAAATTTGCTACAACGCTTCTTGAAAGCATCGTTGAGCACCTGAAGTTTGCTGCGAAAGACGTTGTATGAGAGCTCTTTTTTGCTAACACGACGCTCGATGAGGTTTCGCTTATTCAGTAGCTCTTCCAAAGGTTCATTCTGCTCTTCCTCACGTCGAACCTCATTGTTCAACCGCGTTAAGCGAGCGCTCAACTCATGTATCGACTGTTCACCAACACCACCTAGGTCGACCACGTCTTGTTCTGGGCAAACTTGCAGAGCCTTCTCTTTGTTTTCAGCCAATTCAGTCTGCAGATTCTCCACATTTGTCTCCGCAGATCTGATTGGAGCCAAAACATTCCTCTCCATTACGCCTTCAAAATGCTCTTTTTGCTTAACAGCTTCTTTAAGTTCGTCCTCGAGTAACATCAACTCCCGTTCTGCAATCCGAGAAGCTTCGATGTCCACTTTAGCTGACTCACGTAGTCCATCAAACTGGGCTTTTGCTGCATCGACTTTCTCTTGTGCTCTCTCAACTTTAAACTGCATTTTTACAGCAATGTCCTGATTGAGCTGGATCTCGTCCCTAACTTTATTCGCTTCTTCTTCAAGCTCATGTACATCGGGTTCAGCCTCAAGTTCTGACTCTGCACGAGCGGCATTTTGTAACTCTCGCAACCGAAACTCATCCTTCGTGATAGCACGTTGAAGTTCCACCTTCCTTTTCTTGGCAGATTGTAAACCAGCATGGCAGTTACGAGCCAAGTCTTCAGCTGAACGCTTGCGATTTTCAGCCGCTCGCAACGTGGTATCTAATTCCTTAATTTGGGCATTGGCTTGATCCTCTTGCTCATCGATACGCACGCCCAATCGCCCTTGAATCCGCCGATCTCTAGGCAATACAGTCTCACTCCCTCCTCTTGAGAACAGCTTTAAGCCATCTTTCGTGAGCACCTCTTTCACATTCTGGCTGATACGGCCTCTGGTGAAGGCAATAGTTTTACCTTCATCATAATCTGCTGCAAGAACTAACCGCTCCACGCTCCCCTGGATAGCAGAACACCGATAAAGTTCTTGAGACACACGCACGCACCCATCCACACACGTGTACATAAAGATTGAACAACTCACCCAAAGGGTGGTGGAATGAGAGTGCAGAGACATAGTTCTCAGCGAAATATCAACACAAGAGAGACCCAGAAACGTAGGCACTTTGACAAGGCCCTTGAGCGACAGATTAGCGATAGTACCTGGTCAATAAGAGTGTTCATAACGACAGTATTGTCTGTTTGGAGGACAGACTTCACTGTCGTCAAGCTTGAATCGGGAAGCTGGTCTGGTCTCATTCGTAGTGGGGGCAAATTAAAATCGTAGATAATGATTTGGAGATCGCCATACTGCACTCTTGAGGCAATTTGTCTAAGTAGCAGCATGTCCCTATGATTTGCTACTATGAAAGCATCGAGAAGCTTTCCAACTCCTATTTCAATCGCGAGAGCCCAGGTTGCATCAACCAGGGTGAGATGGGATCCAATCGGTCCAATGGGCGGAATGGAGAAATCGCGTTCGCGCTGTTCAATAATCTGTAGAAGACGTAAAACTCTGTTTCCGCCGAAGGTGGTCATCTGATTGACTCGCTGTTCTCGTAGACGGCGAAGAAAACCCTGCATGTCTCGAAGACTCTGACCAATTTCGTCCATCTCAGCTTTGATGCTAGCGACCTGCTGGGTAGCAGTATCGGCTTTAACTTGTAGCTCTTTTTCTTCCTCGATCAGAATTTTCAACTCTTTTTTCTTTGAATCAATAGCTTCATTGAGAGCCTTAAACTGCTGATCCCTTTCAGTGGCCTCAGCTTGAGTGTTTTGCGCATGTTTTCGAAGAATCTCCTGTGTCTGCTGCTTGAGTCTTTTCAAGCTGGATGTGCTACTATCGATTTCTCTCCTCTTCCTTTGCAAATCCTCCTCAAGCCCTGCACGCTCTCTAATTGCCTCAGATAGTTCTTTTTCTAGTAACCTCTGAGAGTTTCTCAGCTGTCCAGTTGTCTCTAGAAGCTGCTGTATGTTTGCTTGCTTCACTGTCATGGCCTCTCTGACCTTACTTATAGCTGCCTCTGCGGCATCTATCTTCTCCTGGCATCTACTTATCCTACCCCGAAAATTTTCTAGCTTTGCTCGCTCAGCTAGCAGCTTTTCATCGGTGATTTGAACCCACTTCCACGCGAGCTTCTTCTTCACAGCAGCTGCTTCTTGCACCATGTCTTCAATATGCTGGACATTTTTTATCTGATCCTCCAACGATTTAAACTCTTCCAAATAAGGCCGCATTTCCTCTTTAATTCCTTCAATGACGCCATTTGCTTCCTCAAGACTAAACTCAATCCTTTTCAGCAAGTCCGATACTTGTTGTAACAGTGTCGCCTTGAAAAAAAATTTAAACCTCTCCTTCTCACTACCAGCATGAAGAAACTCCCTACTTTTGTCCTGAGTCATGATCACACATGGATTCTCCACTTCAATATTGAAATGATCAAGAAGTTCCTGAAGGTCTTCTCTCTTGTGCCCAACCTTTCTCCCACGCTCATCCTTCATGGAGAAACTCTGTCCACTCTCTGTTATTCTTCTCTCCACAGTTATGATTTTGCCATAAACATCGGGTTTAAAGGCATCTGCACCCTCATTCTTAATGTCCACTATTACACCACCATAGCTCTGTCCATTCTTGATAAAATCCTTCAGCGACGTGGCACGCTGCGTACCTCGTGCTTTGATACCAAATGCAACACACAGAGCCGTAAGGATTGCACTCTTTCCACTGCCATTCTGACCAGTAATAAAATTTACGCGATCAATAAGGTCCAAAGAAAGGCTGCTGTGACACATAAAGTTCTCCACGCGGATTCGTTTGATACACCCTGCTTTAATTTGAGACTCCAATTGTCCTGCCCGTGTTACCGATTGATGTCTTAGAATCTTGTTAAGAACACAACACGAGATCAAGCCTCACCAATTAACCTACAACACTTGAGCAATCTTTGAACTTCTAAAAGACGCAGTATATCAAAATTCAAACCACTACGTATCCCCTAAAATGGTGATGAAAACCTAAGGCTTAGGACTTCCAATATTCTCCCGGGGCCTAGTGGAGATGCTAACGGAACAACACATATCACAAATACTTCTAGAATTAGGAACCAAGACAATACGGACTTCCGATACCAAGTACGGAGATCAAACCCTAAAATTGCTAATCACTCGAGATTTCTCATATTTTCCGAGAAGCATTCCAAACGACCAACATAAAATCGAAAGCAGAAATGCTTGCCTTGTCAAGAGTGACTACAACAAAGATGCTTTTAATTGACTACTATCATGAAAATGTACTTCGCGACTATTTCAAGCCATAACCTTCTCCCTGAAATCGCGATGCCGTTTGTGTAACAAAACAGCTGTACCAGCCTCACCGCCAACTATTTACTACACAATAAAAACCGAAGTTGTCGGACCCGCCTAGATATTAAAAATTCTAACGAGATTTTATTCCTACGGCCACGAGTGGAAAAACAACGAAGACAACGCAAAAAATAAATTCTTCTATGAGATGCTAAAAGAAAGAAAGGCAGGAACCAAAGAATTGGCGCAAAGAGTACTACAGCCAAGTACTAGAGCTAAACTTCAAACGCTCCGCAATGATCCGGTAAAACAAAAGGATGCAAGATTCCCACTCAATTTCAGACACGGAAACCGATTAAACAGCCATGCCAGAAAACCTAACTACCAAATAAGTTCACTTGCAAACCCCAGAACTCAACCAAAGCAAAACCAAATGACCACGAATTCAAATCAAAATACGGGAAGAAAAAAAAAACTCACTTCAGTTCTCAAGAGAAATAATAATAATAATAATAATAACAACAACAACAACAACAACAACAAAAAAAATAATTATGGCTAAAAAACATAAGAGGATACAACGCAGGAGCGCCACAGCCGTTTGTACCATTACTGGCAATGTCTTCGGTGTCGCCATCACCCGACTCGTCGAGCAACAGCATATCCGCCATCGCGCCTGGCCGAGTGTTATTCCGCATCCTGTCCCAACGGCTTCCACCACCGCCTTGATCCTGCCTAGTCTCTGTGTATCTATCCTGTGCACGCAGCGAAGGCGAGCTGGAACCAAGCCTGCGGCAAACAAGCGATGCATGGAAGAGGGCAAAAAAACCGGCGCTACGAGAGAGGGCGACACGGCGGGGAAAGTTGAATATCCCCCGATCGAGGAAAATAACCCATCTCGCTGCGTAACTTTTTAGCTTCGTTTTCACAAATTCCGATTGAGGTCCCTATCGGAATGTCGGGCGGGGGTATCATGGTACCTCAATTGGACGAAACGTCGCTTGGATGGATGTGAAATCCGCGGGTTTGGAACTTACATCTCCTACCACCGATCCTCGTTGGCTCCACCAGCCACATCAGACTGGTTTTTGTGTACCGATCGGCCACATCACCTCCCTATGCCGGGGTTTCTCCATCGTTGAGGTTCAACCCATCTTTACAAGTTTTTTTACACAATTGAAGCAATTTCTAGTTTAGGGTTTGTTTTCATGATTCTTGTTACTTTATGGATATTAAAGGGTCTTCAATTGTGTGCGTAGATATAGTAAATTGTTGTGTTGTTCATAATGATATTCTTAAATAGAAAAAGATGTTTGATAGATATTCCTTATGTTGAGAGCATTAAATGTAGCCGATGCTCTCCACACTATTTACTATAGTCTACAATATTTACTATAGCTACAGTGTTTGGAATGTAATTGGAAGACGTTGTTTATCTTCTCTCCTTCTCTTTGTATTAGGAAGATAATCCTATTAATAAATTCACTTCTTCTCTGTGTGTAAGTTTACATATGTGTGCATATTACTTCTAACTACTATTGTCTCTCTTTCTCTAAAACATTCTCAACATGTCATCGACACGATTGCTTTTATGTTCTAGTCTTAATTCTTAAAAACTTATGTGCATTTTTTCTTTTATTTTCTCCTAAAAAAAAAATTTCCTTCTTGTGTCGTTGTTATTGTTGTTGCTATCATTTGTTGTTGCTGTTGTTCTGTGTCATAGCTCCTGCTATTGTTGTTGTCTTGAGTCATTGTTGCTGCTGTTGTTGTTGTTTTGTGTCATTATTGCTACTGTTGCTCTCCTATGTTGTTGTTGTTGTTGTTGTCATCAACTATCGCCAACTGACACACCCTACCGTCAACAGCCATTGATTGCCGCATCTTGCCATTGACTACCGCATCCTAATGAATCTTGCCACCATCCACCACATATTCTTATTTTTGTGGAAAAAAAAAAAAAAAAAAATCCTAATTTTTTTTAACATTTTTTATTTCAACTTTCAACTTTATTATTTTATTTGGCTTTACATTTTAAGGTACATTGTACCCAACCTTTTCTACTTTAACTTATTTTTTTTTGTTCACAAATTTATTTATAATGAGTGCTTCAACATCCTCAACTACTTCTTCTATGTTTTCAACTATCACCACTATATCCCAACATTTTCAAGCTCTTCTATTTCCACAATTGGCTACTGATGGACAAAAATGGAAAAAACAAATTTATTTGTGGAACAACTATTGAATGCAATTTTGTTTGAAGAATCGCTTACTGTAAGTACTTCAATTTCTATTGCTATCCATTGGAAAGCACTTATTCTCCTTTGTTGACATATTGTACCTACATTACAATATCAATGTTTAAAAATGGAAGATCTAGCCAAGCTCTGGAAGAATCTTAAATCTAGATTTGATCATAAAAGATTGTTTTTCTTCTACGTACATGTCATGATTGGACACATTTATATGTCTTGGATTTTTTTAAATTAAATACTTTCAACAATGAAATGTATTGTATTGTCTCAAAACTATGATTATGTAAACAAAGCATCTATGAAGAAGAAAAGATTGAAAAAACTCTCTCTACGTGTCTTCCTACATTTGCTGTGCTTGCACAACAATATAAGAATGTGAAATTTCATAGTCATCCTGATGTCATGTCCTATCTACTTCTTGCAGAGAAACAAAACAAGCTACTCTTGTAGAAGTTTGTTCTATTGGAATCATGGTTCCAAAATCTCATGCACTTAATATTCCAAAGTCTAAGAAACAATTATGCAAACATGGAAAAAAATGCTCATAAGTACCAGGTTAGTATCTATAAGGTTCACTATGGAATTATCTTTTGAAATAATATAGATTCTCGATGTCTCAATCATCCATGCCAAAGAGAAATACGACTCTCTGTTATAGATGATGTAAAATTAAATATAATAGGAAGCTGGATTGCAATCCGGTATAAACCATTTATTGTAACAAAGGCTTTTTCTATAACTTTATGGTTTTGATCAAAAACCAAAACCTCCCACCTATCTAGAATTGCAATTGAGAGGTGATAATCATTGGCATGCACATCTCGGTAGCTGATCAGACTTTGAAGTATTGAGGGTGCAAATATTACATATTTACATTTTATGATAGGGCTCGCAAGAAATTTTACCATTGTTATTCTCTCTTAGAAATGAAACGCATTTTTTCCAGCCATAGTCATCAAATTTGCATCTACATGTCTTAAAGACTATGCTCATAATTCCATAGTGAACCTATAGATACTAACCTGGTACTTATGAGCATTTTTTTCCATGTTTGTATAATTATTTCTTAGACTTTAGAAAATCCATAGTCTTAAAGATACTAACTTCGTACTTATGAGCATAGTCTTTAAGACCTGTAGATGCAGATTCCATGGAATTATGTCATGCATGTATACAAGGCAAGATGATTGTTTGGCCTTCAATTTAAAAACTCCCACAAGAATTACCACCAATGCTTGAAAGGTTGCATAGTAATATTTGTAGTCATATTAATCCAATATGTGGACCATTTCATTATTTTTTGGTCCTTCTTAATGCATCAGGCAAACAATCACATGTTTGATTATTATCATTTTAAAACATGGTATTTGTTAATCTTATATCTATGCTTATTTATTTTTTAGCAAATTTTCTTGATTATCCTATCAAAGCATTGCGTATGGATAATGCAAAAGAATTTACATCAAAGTCTTTTAATGAGTATTGTATTGAAACAAGGATTTAGTTGACATATTGTGTTCCATATGAACATACTTAAAATGGACTTATAGAGTCATTTATAAAGCGTATATAACTCATTACTCTACCACTTCTTCTTCATATAAATTTACCTGCATCTATGTGGAGTCATGCAATTTTGTATGCAGCAGCATTAATATGCCTCAATCCTTCTTTTCTTGAAATTATTACACCACAAGAGCTCATTTCACATCGTGTTCCAAATGTATCTCACCTACGGATATTTGGTTGCCATATTTGAGTTCCAATACTAGAACTTCAATGGCATACCATTGGAACTCATTGGAAAAAAATACATATATGTTGGTTTTGATTCACAAAGCATTATTTGTATAGTTGACCTATCAAGTGGCACATTATTACATATACATTTTTTAAATTATTGTTTTGAAAAAAATATATTTTCATCTCTTCTAGAAAGAATATTTAATCAATAAAGAAATATAATAATTATATTTGGAGCACCAAAAATATTTACAATGAATCCTGATTCTAGAACATCTTTGGCTAAAAGTAAAATTGCCAAGATTTTGTATCTAAAATGGATTGCAAATGAAACACCTGATGGCTTCAATGATACACCTCAGATTATAAGAGTTTCAATTAATGAAGCTCAAAATGAACTTGCTCATATTGCAATACCACTAACAAATATACCTTAGATTAAAATAACAACAATTAAAAGGACTCGCAAACTAGATAAATAACCACAAAAGAAGAAAACTATAACATGTAGTCATTCTTGTATCATTTTTATGGAAATTCTTACTAAATCTACAAGACCATCAATTAATGACAATTTATCCATGCACATTGTACCTTCACCTCATGCTATAGAAAATTTTGAAATTAGGAGGAATAAAATCAAATTGAGTACAAAATTATTTGTTCTATATTGTGGTACAAATGATCTTTGGAATAGACCATCTATTATAATAGATGAATCATTTGCATTCACGATAGTAGAAGCTCTTTCTTACAAAAAATCACATCTTAAACCTTAAACCATTTAGGAAGCGATGCGTTGCTCTGATTGGTTAAAATAAATAATTGCCATCGAGGAGGAGTATACTTCTTTGCATAAGAGAAAATTCTTTGGTCCAATCGTGGACACTCTTATATCGCATCTTGTGGAATATAAGATGGTATTAATATGCAAGTGAGATGCTAAAGGTCAAATAATCTACTATAAAGCTCTTCTTATTGTTGAAGGATTTATCCAACAATTTGGCATTGATTATGAATCCACATATTCTTCAATCATGGATTCAATTATATTCCAATATATTATTAGAATGGAAATTCATGCCACCCTTTAGATGCATCTTATGGATGTGGTAATTACCTATTTATATGGTTCACTTGATGCAAATATTTATATGAAAGTTCTACCTAGTTTAGAAACAAGAACTCCAAATATACTCGCTCAAGACAATATTGTGGTATTAAATTATGTAAGGCCCTATATAATCTAAAAAAATTTGGATGCATGTGGTATCAACGTCTCTAAAATTATTTAATTATAAATAATTTTATAAGTAATCAATTAATTCCTTGTTTATTTATTAAACAAGATAAAATTGATTTTATCATCGTCGCTGTATATGTTGATGATCTTAACCTAATGGGTACTAGATCTGCATGCATTGTAGCTATTAACCTATATATATGTGAATTTGAAATGAAAATGCTAGAAAAAAAAACTTTCTATATTGGTCTTCAAATTATGCATCTCAAAGATGGTAGCATTTTTTTCTATCAACCAACATATATTAGAGAAATCTTATGGAGATTCAATATGATTGATGCTTATCTATTGTCCACACCAATGATTGGATGTGGTCGTCATGGTTATGATCCATATCATCTATGCAAAGAAGAAGAGGAAATATTAGAAGAACAATATCCATACCTTATAGCAATTGGAGTACTTTTATATTTAGATACATCTACTAGACCAGATATTGCATTTGTAGTTAGTATTCTTGCAAGATATAGTACACGTCCAATACTACAATATTAAAATGGTGTCAAATATTTACTACATCATTTAAAAATTACTGAAGATTTGGGATTATACTACACACGATCTATAGATCCAAAATTGGTTGGATATTTTGATGCATGATATAAATCTGATATTGCAATAGCTAAATCTCAAACATGCTATATATTCTTAAGACATGAAGCTATAGTATCATTGAAATCAGTGAAACAAATTATATCTGCAATTTCATCCAACTATGCAAAAATTATTGCCTTATATGAAGCATCTCGAGAATGTATTTGATTGCAATTAATCGATAAAGTCATTCAAACAACTTGCGGATTTTCATATGATGATTCTCTAACTATCTTGTATGTAAATAATAGTAATTGTATTACACAAATGCAAATTGGTTTCATTAAAGAGGATAGGATAAAACATATTGATTCAAAGTATTTTAGTTATATCCATAACTTAGTTATTGATCAAGTACTTAAGATCAAGAAAATTGAATTTGTAAATAACCTTGCTGATCTCTTCACCAAAGCTCTCCTTTTGTGCAACCATCACTGACTTATTTATGGCATTGGCATGCGGCAACTTGCTTTTCTTGAGCAAAAAAGTTAATAATGTTGTAGTTTTTTTCCTTCATCTATGGATTTGTCCTTAAATATAATAAGATTTTCTTAGATAAGATTTTAATGAGGCAGCAGTTATTGATCTTGTGAGATTACAGAAAAGTATAGATCATAATTCTATGCATATAAATATTATAACGAGCAAAGAGGAGTGTTGAGAGCATTAAATATAGTTGACGCTCTCCATACTATTTATTGTAGCTTTAGTGTTTGGAATGTAGTGGGAAGACATTGTTTATCTTCTCCCCTTCTCTTTATATAAGAAAAATAACCCTATTAATAAACTCACTTCTTGTGTGTGTGTGTGTGTATTTATATATGTATGCATATTACTTCTAGCTACTATTGTCTCTTTCTCTAAAATATTCTCAACACCTTTGAAATGAAACGGTATGAGAACATTGCTTTATTGGTTTATCTTTTCACACATGATGGAGTTATTTGGGAATGTATAAAGATGAAGGGAGAAAAAACAAACACAAAACAAAGAATTTAAAGATACAAAATGTGAATCTTAAAATATGATTTTGGATTTAAAATAATTTTATACATTTATGGTATTGAGAATTATTAGATTGAGGTTAACAAACAGTCAACTTGTTAAAATAGACTAAATTTTATTTTTCAATCTTAAATAAAACTATTACATTTTGATATCTACACAAACAGTAATGGAGTTTCTATTTTTGATTGTATGTATTGTACTTTTATTCTTGTATTTATTCATTTAAAAAATTAAATCATCATTTTTCTGCATTTATTTTTATTTAATTATGTAACTTCCTGTAATCGATTATTTTTAAGAATAATTGATGTGAGTGCAGATGATTTCAACTTTAAATGTATTCGAAATACTTGTGCAGACAATAACTTGTGTGATTGGGTTTACGATATGCCACACAACTTCATTAAAAGTTACAACATTGTTTTAAAATCTCTATTTTTAATTTTTTATCTTTATTTTTAAACTTGTGTGTTACATTCTTGGTGAATAGCATCCGGAAAAGACACAAGTCAAATCACAACATGAATGTATGTGTGTATGTATAAAATAGAAATGAGTTTTGAAAAATGCAGAATACTCTGTATTTTAATCATGCTTGAGATAATATATAATAATCCTCAAAATGTGATACTAAATTATTATTATAACATTAGATGATGTTACTTTGTTTAAGAAGTGAGATATTAATAAGGATTATTGATGTGTAACAATATACAATACAAAAAACCTTACATTAAATACGTACTTCAAAATAATTTATATATATATATATATATATATATGTTGTTAGCAATGTCTTGTTTGGAACACTAGACTTATGAATACATTATTACTTATTACTGAAAATAAAATATTTTTGGGTTCAATTCTATATCATAGTGACTATACAATGCTTCACATTGCATTATTATTTAACACGATTTAATTCATTTCCTGAAATATTTTTATTGATGCTTTGTAAGAATGCACCTTAAGAAATAAATTGATATTAAATTAAAGAATTTTTTAATCAGTTCATTTTATTACATAAATGTGTTCTTGTGTTCTTCTCTATTTTATTCAAAGTTTAAAAAATGAACAATTTTTTTTGAAGGCAACGTAGAGCACCACAAAAAGTCCAATTGAAGAATGAACCAATCAATCCATGCCACAACACAAGTTGTTTCAAGGAGGCGCGTGGAGTTCGCAGCTGGGCTGGGGCCCAGTTGGGGGCTAAAATGATCCAGCTGGCACGGCCAGCTCACCATCAACGGACGGCTCGGACGGGCTGGCGCAGAGCGACCGAAACCTGGCCCAGCTCTACCCGCTCCAGTCCGCCCGGGCCGTGGACGAGACGAGAAAGCCTGTCTGTCTCTGTGATGCGTCCTCTGCAGGTATCCTCCTCCTCCGGTACCAGACCCCACCTCTCGCAGCTTTTGTAGCGTGGCACTCTCACATCTACCCTTCACGCCTCACACTCTCGGCCTTAAGCTGTAACCCCCCCCCCCTTTGCTGTTGTACGCTCGATTCCTCACCCAACGCACTCTTCCTTGTAGAATTTGATGCACTACAGCCGCGGATCTCGGTTTTCGAAGAACAATTTTCATCGAGAAGCTCTGCTTGGGACCGGGGAGGGAGTCGTGAAGGAAGGCGTGATTTGGAGCCAGGGCAGTTGTGAGGGTTAAGAATTGGAAGCAGGAGATTGGAGAATCAGTCTGCGATGTCGGCCCGCAAGAGGACGTTGTTGAAAGTTATCATCCTCGGTGATAGCGGGTATGGTAGTGGAGATATATGTCATTTTATGGTGTTGCAGGCTTTAGGGTGAATAGGAACCTTGTTACAAGCGTTTGGATTTTTTTGTATCAGCGGGGAGAAGTGTATCCGCGAGAGGAGATGACGTCGAGGGGGCTCATGGTGCAGATGTTCTGTCGTCCGTTTTGTCTGAATTTCATTCCTATTCTACTGGTTGGCACCGTGGTTATGACATGAATTTATTTGTCCGTGGTGCTGCTGGTTTTATTTTTATTTTTTGTTGATTTGTTCCCTTGGTGATCGGCATGGTTCATTGTTATTAGAGGTGTGGATCTGTGCAGTTGGGTTTAGGATTAGGGTATCGGTTGTTTACTAACGTGTTGAATTCGGCATTAAACGCACGAAGTAGCATCCACGTTGTTAGGGGAGTGGATTTTCTAGCGATCCTGACGAATGCCGCAGAGTAATCTTTGAATATGTTCGTTAGGAGCATGCATTCGCTTGATTTCTCTGTGAACACTGCGTCTTACTTTCGAAGCATGCCTTCGCTCTTTCATTGTCTAGTGCCAAGCGTGAAATCTGTGATATCCTCTGTATAGTTGAAATCCTGGTCTTCTTTGTTTGGTGATGACAGGGTTGGAAAGACTTCTTTGATGAATCAGTATGTTAATAAGAAATTCAGCAATCAATATAAGGCCACTATTGGGGCAGACTTTCTAACTAAGGAAGTGCAGGTTGAAGACAGACTTGTTACGATGCAGGTTAGTCTCCTCCTTTTTCGCAAACGGAGCCCAGATGACTGCTTGTAGTATGGAACTGATTGAGCATCTATTGGCTCCAGTTAGATGGAGAAGGCTCTCAACTACTTGGTTGTCTCCGTTAGTGACATTTGATTTTCAAGTTTTCACCTGTTACTTTCGCTACTCACTGATGCCTATGTGTGTCTTTGGAGATATTCGTCTCTAGAAGAAAAATTCGTTTCTTCAACTCTCTTGTCCTAATGCCCTAATGCGCCAACAATTCCAAGCTATTTTATTTTTTTGAGTGCAGATTTGGGATACAGCTGGGCAAGAGCGGTTTCAGAGTCTTGGAGTCGCCTTTTATCGTGGTGCAGATTGTTGTGTTCTTGTCTACGATGTGAATGTTATGAAGTCTTTTGATAACCTTGACAACTGGAGGGACGAGTTTCTGATTCAGGCAAGTATTATTTTATATCATATACAAAGAGCTTTGTGATGAATCAAGCTTTTTATGGAGTACGTCTGGCTTTCATGTATTCCTCTTTGAATATGTTTTCATGCGCTACATTCCCTTTTTATGTGAAATATGTGATCATTTGTGTTTTAGAATTCTGTTTTGTTGTGGTTTAAGCAACCTGGTTATTTACTGATTCACGGTCACCGTTAAGGAAGTATGGTTTCATTTTCTTTTCTCACACAAGGCTATATTACTTCAGGCAAGCCCATCCGATCAGGAGAACTTCCCCTTTGTAGTACTTGGAAATAAAGTGGACGTGGATGGTGGCAATAGTCGAGTGGTAAGCTTATTCAAGTCTTATTTTGGGTTCAACCCTCAAATTCATACAGCAAAGGACCATTAGATCATAATATATCCATCGATGGGCCCTGGAGCTGAATTATCCTTTTAAACTCCTGCCTTTGTGAAAACCTCATCACCTCTGATTTCTTTGGACTGCACAGGTCTCCGAGAAGAAGGCCAAAGCATGGTGTGCAGCGAAAGGAGGCATCCCCTACTTTGAGACATCAGCCAAGGAAGACTTCAACGTGGATGCTGCATTCCAGTGTATTGCCAAGAACGCATTGAAGAACGAGACGGAGGAGGAAATGTGAGTCAGTCTTGGTGTTATCAGTGACCATCGCGTTTGTGAAGGGAGTGGAATGTGGAGACGCAATGGAACTCGCTGAGTGGAGGAGTGGTCTGACTGAGTGTGATGTTTGGCATGTGGTTGCAGTTACCTGCCTGATACGATCGACGTGAACGCCAGCAGGCCACAGAAAACTTCCGGATGCGAGTGTTAAGAGTAGCGGAGTTGCTGCGATGGGAAATGCCAGGGTCTGCCAGGCAGATAGAGGGTTGGTTGATTTGAAGACATCCATGGGGGAGAGAAATGCCTGCGTGGTGATTGAACATGAATCTATCACTGTTGGAGGAGAAGGTGTGTCAGACTACTGGAGCGCAAGGTGTGTTTGACGGCAATGCCACGTCGACGTCGCAGCTCATTGACAATAGTTGGGACATTGTGGAGATTTGTTGTGGGGCTATATCTATTGGTATCATCGTCAAATGGGACTGTTGATGGATGGTCCAATTCGACTAGTAGCGGGTTAGTGAAGTGGTATGCAAGGTATATTATCATTAAATGGAGCATGAATACAAATGCACGCAGTTTGTGCATCCAGATTAGACGAGTGAATGAAATATTTGATGACGCTCAAGCTTTCACTCTTTGGAAAGCGCTCGATATTGGGAGATTGGGTCAGAGATTTATTTTCTTTCCAATGTACACGTTTCGGGCCAAATTCTAGTGACGCAGAAAGCATTGAGCATATATACAAGTAGAAAACGGTATTATGCTATTTTTGTTATTATAGCGAACACTTCCATTTGCTAAAAGTTTGTGTACTACGAGAATTGCGCACACGTTACAGAAATAAGCAATTAAGCACATGTTACCACTCAAGTGGATGTTGCATTATGGAATGAAATGAATTAGTGGAAAGGAAACAATTGGTGCCTCTCACAGATTCATAATGCAGCATTGTTTTCATTGTTAATTGGTAGTTTAAGTTAAATAGCTCGTCTTTTTTTCATTTTTATTTATCATGGATTTAACTTCCAATATTGTAAATAGTATTAAATGAACAGGTTGATATTATCTGTCAGTTTGAAAAATCACGAATTTAATATTATCATTTAATAAGAAGATTGTGAGATGTAACGATGCAACTAACAATCTTTAATGCCTACGGCATAATCACGAGCACGAGACTAGTACGAGAAATTTTGGATGATGAAGCTGAGGAGGCTTAGGGGGAAAACATCGTGAATGAATTATGAGATCGAAGGGGCTAAGTCAGAAATCTCGTGTGGAAAACACTGGACACACTGCACCATGGATGCTATCCAAGAGTTTGATCATCGTCCCAGCCGCACTCCCTCCTCAGTCATAACAGTGAAGAAACCTAAACTAATACCACGACTCAAGAGAACCAAAACAAAAGTACAAAACAAGTCATGGGCAGACACATTAAAGTCGGGTGGTCAGAAATCTCGTGTGGAAAACACTGGAGTCACTGCATCGTAAATGCTCTCCGTTGTGATTCTCATCGTCCCACTCTAGACACGTTCACGCACTCATTCACAACACCGATAGGAAACTGTTACCCACTCACAACTTCAACAATGTAGAACCTTATTCAACCTCCAATACCACGCTCACGTAGAGAAGGGCTGGTTGGAAGGTTCTCTCACGCAATCTGTGCGGCCAATAAACTTGCCGGGTGCTGGGATCTCTCGGGCACACAGCTCGGCCACCGCATCAAGGAAAACACTACTTCTTCCGCTTACTTTACACATGGCACAGTACACTCTAACTAAAACCCTAGACAAAGCGATCAAACAACGCATTCAACCTCAGAAGACTCCCAAGACGAAAGCAGCACACGAGGAAACATGAATTGTGACGTCGCCAAGTAGGACGAAGAGCTCCTTTGTATGCGTAACTCGAGGTCAGAACCCTAACCCTATCAGCCCCGTCCTATTGGGGTGAGATCGGGATATATACCCTTACTTCACGAGTATACCCTGACTATACGAAGATACCCTTCGTCCTCGTAGATACCCTGGCCTCAGTCGCAACAACCTGAAACATGTGCATCAATCGGATCGCTCAGCCTTGCGAAGCCAGATCCCATTCACATGATTCGATACTTCATAATAAATATATTTTCACATTTGCATGGCGCGTTTTTATTATTTATAATTTTTAAAAATATGGGTTGTGCAAAAACGAGATGGCATTTTAAATGCATGATAAGATTAAAAAAAAAATTTAAGTAAATGTCACCTTTTTCGTTCCCAATATATGATTAGTTCGTTGAGAATATCCATGATTCTCTATGGAATGGCATGTTCTCATTTTGATGTTGAATAGAGATTTATACAGTTCCTATTCTGAAGTATGGACTTGTAAACTTGGAGCTGCAGTCAGCTTTTGTTGTGCATGCTGTGATATATTATGCGTATTTTTATTCTTGTGTACATCTTCATTATACAGGAGCTCTTTTTTGGGAAAATCATTAATGAATTCCGTTAAGTTTATTGAATAAAAAATCAGTATACCTTACTGTAACTTTTTATTCTGAAAACTAATAGTGTAACAAATATAAATGAATTTAGATGAAATTTTGTGTATGTAGATATAAATGTCCATAATCCTATTTTTAGACACGTAAAAAACTAAGACACTGAAATAAAGTATACGGTGTGTGTAACTACAAATAGCATGCACCAATAGACGAGTGATAACAAATTACAAACATGCACTTTACAAAGGTGATATCTTCATGTTAATAGTCGTTAAATTGAATCAAAATTATTGCATTCCTAAATATATTTGATGTTTCTCCCATATTCCAAATATATAAAATAATTTGTGAAAAATAATAACCTCTCTAAATGATATAAAACTATTCAATATTATATGTATTAGTATGTTAATATTCTACCTTATGACAATCATTTCATACTTGTGAAATATAGACCGGATTAAGTCAATAACGTGGAGTTGGTTCAAGTTGGGTAAATTGGAATTTGTGCCGACATATTATTTTCACTCGAATCTTACAAACTTTTATTGTTGATTTTTTAATAGACCCACTATTATTGTCCTAGAATATAAAAAATCTTAAAACAAAGATAATGTGTTTTGTGATTTTTATAGTTTTTTTCTCATTTGATTAAATGAAAAGTTCTTTATATTTGTTCACATTGATTTCAATTGTTAGTTTATTTTAGTGGTATTTATCTATATTTACTCATTTTCATGTAAATATCCTAATCATAGAAATCTTTTATATCCTCAAGCCAAGAATGACACAAAACACTTTTATTTGGTGTAGGTGTATTTGTTGCAAACTTAACTAATTATTGTTGTGTAAGTATCTTACAAATACAGTTTGAATTATTTGCTAAAAAATAATACATCTTGCCTTTATATTTACTAGCTAACATTAAAGTTATAGAAAAATTGTTTAACAACCACAATACTCATTAATTGTTATACTTAAATATTTTAATTTTATACCATAAGAAAAAAATAAAAATATTATTTTCTAGACTTCCTTTTAAAAAAAAAATAAAACACATATTTTATATTTTTAAGATATAAAATAAATAATAATGATAAATTAAATAATTAAAAAACAAGTTTGTGTGTATATATATATAATACAAAACTCTATGATTTTGTATTAAAACATAAATTTTTAATCTAATTAAATACAAATCTACGGATTTTAGAATATTAAATATGATTCTGTGCACTTGAAGTGTAATAAAATTTACCAACAACATAACTTTTTTTTTTGTTTCTTGTTTTTATTTTTATTTTTATTTTATAGACTCAGTAATATATATATATATATATATATATATATATCCCTTGTTCTAAAGGTAATAAGAAGTCAAATAATTTTAACATCATTTTAGTATTTAGTTTTGAGCAAAACTTTCTTACAAAACCGCTTGGTAGGCACTCTTTTATTATTGTGTGGACACCTCCCTGTGCCACACCAACAATACACCACTATTATTAGTTTTTCAACAAGCTAGATACTAACAAAGTAGAAAGATATTAAAACAACAATAAAAAAGAACAATGAATGAATATACATATATATTAGCATCATAGAAGTTAATCAAAGCAAATTAAACAAATATAATAAAATAAAGGTGTCCTTATAAATATTCTGCTGTGTAGACATCTACTTTCATGTAATTGCTTTATTTAGGTTATATATCCATAATTTTTTATGTTATGAGTTGTTGTTTTTTTTGTTGTTGTTTGTAGCATTCTTCAGATGCAACTTGTTGAAGAGTTTATATGAATACTGAATTACAGATGTAACAAAAAGAGGTGTCATTACAATAAAAAGGAAGTATCTATCTAGTATGTCTTCTTGATAGCTTTATAAACTACCTCAATCATTATCTATTTTTAAGTAGAAATATTCTTTTATTTCTATAGACTTTATTAATGAGTTTCTTAATTTTTATTTTATAATTTTGTTAATTTAATAGTAGATGATTTAATAGAAATAATTTAAACCAAACATTTCACACATGCTATTGCACTATAAATAAATAAGAAAACACATGTAAATAATAAAAAAACATATCTTTTTAAATAAATAAATAAATAAATATCTATATATATATATATATATTTTAAATTTTATAATATATTTATACTTTAAGTAATATTTTTTTTATTGATAATTCCACTTTATATCAAAGTTTTAGAACACCTTAATAATAATCTAAAATATTAATAATTTTTTATTGATTTAATTTTTTAAATATAACTTCTTAATTAATTAGAAATTTAATAAGAAATTCTAAGCTTAGAATAAATAATAAAACAGCGAAATAATATTAATTAATATTAAATGAATTAAAAAATCTCTTATCTTAATTATTTTGCTTCTTTAAATATGTTATATTAAAAAAAAATAGTATTCAATCAATTGTAACTATTTGTTATTTTTTTCTTTTAAATCCCTTATCTTAGAAGATTTGGTATGTCAATTACTTAAATTTTATACAAAAATATAAATCAAGTTTAAAGTTTTAGTAATACTTTTATTTATAAATATAAAAAAAAATTATATTAATATTCAATCAAGAAAAAAGAACAAAGCTTAAAATAAAATTTATCCTTGAAATAAGATGGTACACAATGACTACCATGCAATATAGAATATTTAGAAAGAATTAAACTAAAACCAAATTATAGAAAAGAGATTAATTAGAATAAAGATGACTTTAACTATATGTTTACACATACTAACTTGTAAGAAAGCTATATAAAAGTTTCTTAAGGACCACATGTAACAAATGTATGTATTATTTAAATAAATAGGAATAGGAAAAATTAGGTAGGAACATAATACATAGAAAATATGTTATTCAATTTTTTTTTAGAGAAGTTGTTTAAAACTAGTTTAGATCTTTAGATTCTTTTTGATGTTTTATTGGATATTTAGACTTATTTTTTAACTTTTTAACTTTCAAAAAAATATAAAAGAAGCAACCTACAATTTTTCATTCGGGTTATAAATCTGGTAATATTTAGATAGCTTTTAGAATATCATCTCAGTGGCTAGTATTAGTCCTATCAACACCTATTCTATATTTTTAGTCTTATTTCAAGAATTTGTAGTTTCTTTGTATTTAGAAATAAAAAAATATATGTATATTTTAAAATCTTATATTTGATTCTTTTATGCTTAATTTCTCTCTTTTCCAGTGAAACATAAAATGTATTGTCTTTTCAATTATTTTCTAACTTTATATCTATAATGCTAGTTGCTTGGTACATTGTGTGAGAAATTGGATAAGTATTATGTTTTGTGGATAATAAATCATTGTATACTTTTCATCTATGGTCCCAAAAAATAACTAATTAGTAAAAACAAAGTATAAAGGTGTAAATGACGA